TTTATTTTATTTTATTTTTTACACAATTAAATAAATTTATTTTTTTAAAAATAAATAAATAAATAAAATATCAATAAAAATTTATATTATTTTTTTAATTAAAATTTTAAATAAATTTGTTTTTAAAAATAATAATAATTAAACAATGAAATTAAATAAAACATCTATTAACATTTAAATAATGAAATTAAATAAAATATAAATAAAATTTTAAAATAAAACATCAATAAAATATCTATAAAAAAATTATTTAAAAAAAATAAATAAAACATCAATAAAAAGTTAAATAAAATTATTTTATTTTTAAATTGAGACAATTAAATTTTATTGAATTTTACTAAATATAATATATAATTAAATAGTAGATGATCAAAATAGTCATTTCACCACCTAATCCCAATAGTAAATAATCCCCCCACAATTGTCCCACACCCCCCCTAAGATAGTATAATCCCCCATATGGGGAATAAGGAGTCTGGCCGGACTTCATGTCCGGCGGACTAAAAAAAAAACAAACATCGAATTGGATTTACAATCTGCACAGTAAATAATCCCCCTCTCATCCCCCAATTAAACACACCCTAAGTGAAAAGCTAGATGAGGGAATCATTGTGCCAGTTGTTTGTTAAGCTATCTGACAAGTATTTTGAGAAGGAACGTAGTTCATTATTTTTTATTTATTTTTTTGCTTCAACAAATACTGTTCCAAAAAAAAAAAAAAGAGTATGCTTTCTGTAAATGATGATTCTCCCACTTGCCATAAACTGGGAATTGCGCCTATAGTGTTAGGTGACCTCATACCTGTTACAAAGTATGGTGATTTTTTTTGTTAATTCAATGATGACAGTGTTTGGCCTTCTTGCTTTTGAACTTGAGTCTTCTGTCATGTGATCTGGAATTAAATGATATTATTTTGTTCTACGTTATCTCTCTCTCTCTCTCTCTCTCTCTCAGGTGTGGTGTTTATGATATACCGCTTCATTTTGTTGGCAGGTTTAGCCCAGAAGCTCTGAATTGGCTGTTCATTAAAGGGTTGGTGGGGTGGTTCTTGCAAGTTTCCCTGTTGAAAATGTCATTGTTTTCATTCGGTAGTGGGGAGGCGCCCCTGCTGGACATAATGGCATATGCCGGGTATACTTTCACAGGTATGTGTCTGGCTGTCTTGGGAAGAATCATGTGGAGCTACTCATACTACTTTTTGATGCCATGGGCGTGCTTGTGCATGGGAATCTTCTTGGTAAAGACAATGAAGAGAGTTCTTTTTGCGGAGGTGAGGACTTATGACTCGAGCAGGCGTCATTACCTCCTGCTCTCCATTGCTTTGGCTCAGTTCCCACTTTCCATTTGGCTTGGCAACATTAGTGTTAATTGGCTTTTCTAAAGTCCTACTCTCTGGCTATGGTGTTGCGAGCAAACAATTTTGTCTGTAAGTGTCTATGGAGTGTTTTTTACAGGCATTGTTGTTTTGTAATTTTGGTTGATCTCTTGAGTTGGTCCATTTTGATTTCTTATTCAATTTGTTCACGTGAATGCCTGGATTTAACAACCAAGTAATATTGTTCTTAGAAGCTGAAAACATCCTAACTACCTTGGCCAAGCTGAACTTGCCCGGTTTGCCTTGTTGGTGTATGTTGCATTGTTTATTTTTTTTCAATTAATATTTGTTTAAAAAAACTTTTTAGTGGGCTTTTAGACTAGAGATTCTTAAAATAAATAAAAATAAAATGAATGTTTAGTAGAATTTTTTTTGAATAATTGGGGAATTTTCTTGATTATATTCAATAAAATATCTAATTACGGAATTTCAAAACTATGCATTCCCACTAATTCCTCAAATACTAGAGGGGTCAAACTCAATCTGAACTTGGGAACCCATCTAATTATGCTCACTTGATATCTGTCCAATTTGTAAATGAATTTAAATGGGTTGCATTTTGTGAATCTAAATATTAAAAGGATTGGATATGGATATATGGATATTCATTTATTGGTACCAACACATCTACTCAATGATTAGAATCAATTTGGCAATTGGGTTGAAAGTCAAAAAGTTAACTTTTTGACTTTTTTAAGTCACATTGTCTGTTTATTTTTTACACGTTTTTTTTTTATAAAAAAAAGGTCAAAAAATTAGTTTTTAACTTACTTTCTAAAATAGGGTAGTGCTATTAGCATCTCATGAATTATTTTAGACCTTCCATTTCTTTGGACCCACACTTATAAATTTTGAAACCCTTAAAAATTCTTTCTTTCCCCCAAATAATAACAAAATTATCCTTGTGAAAATATTTCACCCATTGAATGCACACTCCTTATACTCCAAAAAAACCCCACTTCTAAAAAGCCTTTAACAAAGCCCACAAAGAAGTAGAGGAGGCAATGTGATTATTATCTCTGCTGTTTCATCCATCATTGTTATAGTTGGTATGCTCTCTCTCTCTATATATATACATATAATTTCTTAGTTTTCTCATAATAATTTCTTTTCTTGCAGAAAAAAATTATAATAATTGTAGACACCCCTATTTTTGACTACCCGCAAGACTTGGACGCTTTGTCTTGTGCACTCGATGATGAAGTTGCGTTGTGTGTGATTCGAAGTCTCAACGAAGGAATGTAAGCTCGTGCTCCAACGCCAATCCTAAACCTTTCATATTTATACTGTGTTTACCCCCGAAATTCATTTTTTTGAACAATGTGTCCCCCTACATTGAGTTTAAAACAGTGGAACAGAAGAGCATATTGGGAGCTAGTCGTACCACATTGGGAGCCAGCCGTAGCTATTGGGAGCCAGCCGGCTCTCGATAGCGAGAAACACCATTCTGGGAGGGAATGGGCCAACTGCCATTTTTGAAGATATTTTCGACCTTTTTAGCTAAAATTCTATAAATACGAGCTCTTGGCTCTGTTTTGGGGGTTGAACAATTTCTAAAGAGCCTATACACACAAGAGAGAGCTCCTTCTTTCTATACAAGTTACCTTTGAGCAAACTTATCTCTCTTGACTAACATCCATACATCATATACCACCTTAGATCATAACCTTAAAGCCTTAGTTGAGGCTTGTACATCACAATTCAAACTTGAGAGTATGCTTGAACCAAGTTTGTGTTACAAACAAGAGCTTGCTTTCTTGGAGAGGTATAACTTGCCACCTTCTCTCTTACTTATTTTTCTATCTCTTGTTAGCTACTTCTTGTGTTTTTGTCCTGTCTTGAGTCCTTTTCAAGTGTTTAAACTTGGGTTTGGATAGCTACTAAAGGGTAGAAAAGGTTAACACCTTCTTTTGCACCTTATTTCATAGCTCAAGCCCTTGTTTTTACACTCTTTTCTTTAATTCTCAAACTGACTTTTAGAGGTTAAAAAGGGCTGGAAAACATGGTTTAAGGTTTCAAAAAGTGGAGGGGTTGGCCACCTCTCCTTGTCTTTGTTTACTAGTTTGTATCTCCTAGCTTTTGTCTACCTTTTTGTGTACTTTTAATACACTTTTAGCCATTGTTTTTTTTATGCTTTGAGGCTATTTAGGGCTGTCCTAATTTAGTAAATTAGTTTATGCTTTGAATATTTTCTTGTTGTATTGTAAGTCCTCATATCTTACTTGTTGTGTTATATTGTCCATGGCTCTTCTTTGCTTGGTTTTCATGTCAAGAGTTTCATTTTAATAATCAATCTCGCAATTATGTCTGCAACCTCTCCCATTTCTTCTTTTCTTCTCTTGTTTGAGAGTTATTTCAACCGATCGATGGTTATTCAAAATATAAGCTAGAGACCTATGCTCAATGGCTTAATCTCTACGAAGGTTCATCGTCAAAGGCATGGTCTCTCTTTCATATTTAGGAGTACCTCTCGCTTGACGTTTTTCTCATTTAGCAGACTTAATCATCACTATGGACAAATGGATTAAAGAATGGACAAGACTAATGAAATTGGCTTAAAATTGGATCAACCAACATAAAGAAAATGAATAAGGTTGCCTAGGTTCAGCTGGATGTTATGCCGAGTCCATTGTGTCAAGGGTTGTCGTACGTTAATTCATGATGTTTTGATGAACCTTGAAGCGTCTCTACCTCTCTCTTTGAGCTCACTTCATGATAGGAAGGAGGGGTGGTCATTGTTCTTTGCATTCATTAATTTTTGTCGAAAATCATGTTCAAAATCATCAAGCGATCAACTTGCTCATTGATGGTTTTAGAAATGACTTCGTTCTTCTATTGAGGATTTCCATGATAGAGAAGAGCAGAGAGGACAAACAAGGCCTAAAAAGGCTCTGTCTGCACTGTTCTCACCTTCGAGCACAAAAACCTTTTTTTGGCATAAAATTTAGTGCCGATCGGCACTTTTTGGGTCTGGCCGGCTCCCAATGTTTGGCAAACAGAGTGTTTTGCAGAAAACAAAAGGCAGTGATTGAAGGTGAAACAGAGCAAGTCTGGGCAGACAGAGTAGTTTCTGGACGCTATGCATACAATCCTTGTGCATCCTTGTTTAGATCAATGTTGTCAATTAATGTTCCCATTATTGCTGTAATTCATTAATCATCATTATAGTTGGCATTGTGTATGTGCAACTGTCATAATTAGTTAACTCAGCTAGTTAGTTATATTGTTCATCTTGGTTGTAATGACTTGGATAGTTAGTTGATAACTTAGATATCTAGTTAGTAGTTAGCTAGTTTTAATTCATTTATTCAAATTTGTAATAATTAGTTTAATTCGGGGCACTCGGACATTTATTCGCACCCTCTTGTACGAGGACAAATATGTAATAATGTTGTATGTCTTCCAACTCCCATTTCTTTCTCCCTTTTATTTCTCCACTTATGATGGTAGTATAGAGTATCATGTTTACTTAGCATTCCAATGTTCGCATACACTTGCTACATATACATTTGGGTTCGGCTCATCATACTAACCGATGTTAAATTCAACTTCATTGTTTGAATACGTGATTTATTACATGTTTTGAATCGGATCATATACCATGCTCATATTCAACTTCGTTGTGCGTTGCATTAGTCACATTGCATTGTTTAGGAACATGCATATTTTCTAATTATTTTGCTTTGTTTGGCTTGCCTTGGAGTACTAGGTGAGTGTTTTGTGTTTCAGCATATCACATTGTATGTCTATGTTATCATATCAAACATGTTTTCCATGAGGCTAAGTACTTAATTGATGTACTTGTTTGAATGTCTGTGGATGAAGGCTAATTGCTTGAATTGGAATAATTTGAGTAAATGTACATATGAGATTTTTTTTTCAAGTGGTACATATTCAAAACAATTTTCAATCAAACACAAAATCAAATGTTTCAATTTTTGTAAATTAGTCTATACTTGTGTGCGTTACATAGTAAGATAGCCTAAAGAGATTGGAACAAGAGCATATAATGTAAATAAAAATCACATCATGATTAGTAGAGGCCGATCTTTGATCAGGCGAGTGGGGTGCTCAATTCATGACCTTCTCCTCTCGTACCTAAGTTCCCGAGTCAAGACACTTTGGTGATGACGAATAAGTTGCCTTTGGCACGAGCCTCGGATTTCCTAAATTTTTCAAAAATATTTAGGTGGCAACTCTGTAATCTGGCAAAACATTTTATTTTTGGCATTTGATTTAAACATCGATTTTTCAAAAAAGAATTGTTGGATTTGGATTGTTTTTGTGTTTTTACTGTTTCACATTGCACTTGTGAAATCAGATTCAGAACCATAGGAGTTTGAACTGTGGGGCTATCGTATCTGAAAGGAGCATGAAAAGCAAGCCATAATAATTGGTTTAGTTTTCTCAGTAACACAGGTCTAAATCTATGAATAATGTTCAGTTACTTGTTTCCGAACAAATAAGAAATGTTCACTTACCGGTTTCTAAACAAATAAACAATGTTTGGGCCTGTGTTCTCGAATTTCGGTCATATGTTCGGGAGTCAATCCCGAAAAAATGATGAATAGATTTTATTATTTTTGTCATTTTTTTTTCAAGAAACTTACCCTTACAAGACCAATCTCCTTTGAGCTAAGAACAATATCAAATCTATGAACCTCTTCTAAGCTTTTAGTGTTGTATTCCTCTCGTCTTATGGAGTTATGGTTGCCATACAAACTTCCACTCATTGTCATTGTCAGAGAAGTGTAGGTAATCAAATAGTTGCCACTATTACCGTCGGAATATTGCCACCAAAGGGTTTTCAATGTTTTGAGGGTGGGTAGGTTTTGAAGGTGGGATTTGGGAAAGATGGATAAGTGGTAATGGAAATGAGTGCTCTCATAAACCCTACTTCATGATATATTGGGTGTGTATGTTTAATTGTGAGATGGGTGTCCCAAAATTAATGATGTCCTTTGTAGTGATTTATTTGAGGTTATTATTGGAATAAAAAAAGTTAAAAATTGAGGGGTCCAAAATAATTTATAAAGTGCTAATAGCAGCACTCCTAAAATAAGCTAAATAGATAAGATTGATCAAGTTAATTTGTCCAACACGTGTATCAAATTCAACAGAAATCATTTATACACACACAATTCATTTTAACCAAGCATCTCTAAGGGAGGAGGCAAAAGAGCATTTTGAGGCATTTTTACTAGTGGATATAGTTTTCTCCCCCTTTAAGGGGCTCTGCATCAGAAGAAGTAAAATGTCCATTTTGATTTTTGCTCTCCACAACTAACTAGCCTTCATTGATAGGCAAAAAGGTTTCCTCTATCTACGGCCATTTGTTTTCTCCCTCTATCGTTGTTGGGCTTACTCCAACCCATTTGAAAATATGATCATTTGAAAATATTGTTTAAAATATAATTTAATATAAAAATGTTTTAAAAATAATTTAATTATATATATATTTTTTTAAAAAATATATTTATAAATGTTACGTCAACATATATATCATGTCATAAAAAGATTATTTATTCATTTATCTATGTTTATAACATTTTTTTAAAAAAAAATTAATGATATTAATTTGATTAATTAACTAAAATAAAAAACATAATTACTATTAGGCAAAATAAAAATGATACTTTTACAAGACATTTCTCTTACCTTGGAGTTGCTCTAAAAAACACCAACTCTGTTTGGGAAGATAACACAACGTACTCTCCAAGTATTCTTGGCTCAATACCATCCCAGTGATTGATTTCCAAGGACTCCATCCCATGGAATTGCAGTACCAAATCATGAAGGCTAGCCAAGATTATGGATTCTTTCAGCTCAGCTCATTACTCATATATTTTATTTTTCTAAGTATTTTACCTGTAATGATTGAATGGACTTGGGTCATCTCTAGTCCTAACAAAAGGGTTGGACCATCCAGTCCGGTGTTTCCGGCTCACTATGCTGCCCATTTTAATAATTTGATCCCATTATTTTTATTTTATGTGTAGATGATCAATTTAATGATAACTGTATGATTTTCATCGTAGTTGTTCAAATAAATGGACAAGAAGAATGATTTCAGAACTATGCTACATATTCTTTGAAAACAAATATGATCAAATCATAAAACTATGTTTGTCGGACCAACTTGATTTTTTAACAGAAAATTCCCGTATAAAGACTTAGATTCAAAACGAATTGGATGATTGAAATGAGAGAGCTGAACTAGACCGATCTAGTTTTTGGAGAAGCCTATTGCTAATTGAACGTGCTGGTAGTAGTCCTTCCCAAATATAGTAATCAAAATTTAGACTAATTATAACTTCAACTTCAAGGATTCTATTCGATACATATATTCAGAAATATAATTATTTGCACATGTACTATATATAAAGAAGACACAAGTGGGTGAGATGAGACCTACCATCTTGTGTCTTGTCTATGAACTATTTTGTGAATGGCTTTTGCGCATGGAGCATAGTTGCATTCTCAATTGAATGACTGAATCTCAAGATTCTCATATTTTAAGATTTTTGTCAAAGAGTGAGAGAAATTCCATACACACAACTATTATTGTTTCAAGGATAATTCTACTATTAAAGAAAAAATTGCAGTTGATTAATCATGGGGTATCATTAGAGTTAATGAAGGATGCATTGATAGTGGGGAAGAAGGTGTTTGAGTTGCCTAAGAAGGACAAGGAGAACTTCAACTCAGAGGCACTACAAGAATTAACACTTTTAGCAACAAAAAAATTGGTCGCTAAAAGTCTATTTTTGGTCGGCAAAAGTTATCCGCGACCAAAATTTTTGGTCGCTAGTTTGGTCGCCAATTGAGGGTCGGCAAAAGTAATTCGCGACCAAAATTTTCGTTGGTCGGCAAAAGTTGGATTTGCCGACTAAATTTTTGGTCGCGAAATATATCATTACCGCGACTAATTCATTTAGTCGCTATTGGTTCGCGAAAAGTGATATTTTCCCGACCAAAATTTCTTAGTCGCCAATTGTCACATTTTGCGACCAAAAAGTTTGGTCGCCAATTATCACATTTCGCGACCAAATTTTTTGGTCGCCAATTATCACATTTCGCGACAAAAAATTTGGTCGCCATTTGTTACTTTTCGCGACCAAAACTTTTGGTCGGCAAAAGTGAGTTTCCACGACCAGAGCTGTTTTGGTCGGCAATAGATGTATTTTTTGCGACCAAAACTTTGGTCGGCAATTATCATTTTTGTGAAAAAAATTATTTTGGATGCCGCGACTAATAAATTGGTCGCCAAAGCAGAAAAAAATACACCTGTATATTTAGCGAATTCATAATCAAAACAGGACGAATTCATAATCAAACAGATTTTATATAAAATTTTATATCCAATTCAACACATAACCAGTAGCAGCAACATTGATTCCAAAAAACAAGGAACGATTCACAAAACCCTATTCTAACCCACAAAAAAAAAAACATTCATTCCAAAAAAAAACCAAAAAAATTTAACATAATCAAAATCAATTTAAAAAAAAAAAGAACATTCTGGTCTGGTGTTAACAAGGTTGAGTATTGTTGTTCTTTTTTATGTAAGGCATCCAACTCCTTTCTGGCCTCTGCAAATCTCTCTTTGTCGTACGCGTCAACAAGGTAAACTTCACCAGCATCTGCCCTATGGATGAGGCGGTATAGACTACCCCTGTTCCACAAAATCAGGACAGTTAAGCTTTCCATGTTTTCATGTTCCAGACAAGGGCATACCATAGCCTTCCGTGTTTTCTTTCTTTAAAAATTCCAACTAGCTTATCAGCCTCCCACATTACTCTCCTGGTATAGGTAATCTCAGCATGTTAACAGCTTTCATCATAAATACCTGACAGTACCATCCACAGAAGCACTGGCAATATTGTTTCCTGATGCAGAAAAGCGGCACCGACTGATTGGACATGTGTGGCATAAAAATGTCTCCTATATTATGTTATAGAAAGTTACACAGACATCAAACATAAATGAACAAACAAATGCAGTAAATAAACAAGACAAATACGGGCAAGGGGAGAACAAATTTCAGCAGCAAAATTTTGGAGAGTAACATCAAAAGTCATAAATAGTGTTATAAGCCATATAACCTGAAAATCTACTTTCACTTCCAAAAATTCTTCTTCTCCATCCATTTCTCTGCCAGTTTCTGCAACAACACAATCAATATTTACTTTCAGTACTGTGGGACAAGCTATTTTCCTTATTATTAGAATAGAAAATTTCCCTATTTTTGTTCAGAAGAAAATCATCTGTGAAGCACAATAATACTATGCTGGAGAAGACATGTCCAGTGCTTGCACAAGTCAAGCAAGCACTGGACACTTTCCAATATAATTTTTAAAAAAGGAAAAAAATCCTATAACTAATACAAAATGAGTAGTAGTATATGTTGAAAATATGTATATGGAACTCTTTCCGATGAAAAGAGCTATTGAGGGTTCATCTTCCAAGTAATGCAATTGTTAATATGGAAACTAGAACAAATCAATCAATTATATATTGGTCTCTTGTGAAATAGAAATATGTATACAAATAGAACTTAAATTCTACATATTGAGATGTTTTCCCCATGCCCACTTGATCAAAATTGTTGTGTCCATATCCCGTAAAGCGTTGTGTTTATGTCATGTCTGCATATCCTTGTGACAAATGAGCACTAAGCTATCACTCGTTTTTATTCATATATAAACGAGAGAATGAATGCAATCATGACTTACCAATATAAAAGTCATCCCGAAGCATTTCAAGGGTATCACTTGTCCCACTCTCTCCAAGACGGCGGTCTAATTTAGAACTTGAACCTTGGGCAAACTTCGATGGGATCAATTCTGATGAAACCTCGGCAGGTCCAGCAACAACCCAATCCTTCGCTGAATCTGCTTCACTCGCAGGTGCACAAGTTTCATGAGAAACCCTGGATGGGAGAACACTCACTTCATGAACACCGGTTGATGGAATCCCGGTTACGGAGCTCATTGTGCCGTTTGTCTGGCCCATTCTTACTTCCAATACTGATGAAGCATTACTGTTATAACGATAATGTGGTAAGCAAAGCATTGACAGTATAAAGAAAAATATAAGTATCTCCAGGTAGACCACACTTACCTCCTTGATCAAAATAACTGAGCTTCTTTCTCCTCCAACAAAGCCTGAAGTTCAGACAATCTAACATTAAGTTGCCTAATGTCTTTTTTGAGTCGGTTGACAGTATTCTTTTCAGAACTGATCTTCAGTAGGGCAGGGATGCGTAAATTAGCTAAGGAAAATTTCCACGTAATCAAAAAGTATTGTGATAATACAGTATGTGGTCAATGTGATTGCAAAGACATAGCCACATTAGTTTCCTGGTTACTACCAGCAGAAGTATGTCAAGGTTAAGCCAAGCCCCTTCTACTAATTGGTCGTGTTATGCATGTTGGCATTTTACATAGTACACACCTCTTCTAAATGTTAACAGTTTATCTTATAATCATAATCTACAAACTACTAATCAGTTTAACAGAACAACATACGAAAAAAAGAATAACATTAACCTCAAATGGCTTCCAAAGCAAATATTGGGCATAAGATAAATGGTCAGTTATATGCATTTGTATTGGGGTTGGGGTAGGGAACTATGAGACAAATGCGTGAAAATTTATATTTTAAGGATATGGGTACCATTAAACATCTCGCTTAAGAAGTTCCTAACTGAAAGATGGAGGGCATTAAACCACTCCTGTGAAAAATAAATGCGAAACTGGGGATCCATGCTTGGATTCTTAAGATACAGGATGGCTGCACGGAATACAAAAGGTTAAATGCGAAACTGGGGATCCATGCTTCGAGTTTTCCCTCTTCTAAAGCTGTTTTTGATTGTCTGTCGTCCATCTGCAGATGAGCACACTGCATGCTGCCGCAAAGAAATGGAGTATACAGAGCACTGACCAATTCAGTGTCATTATTCTACCAAGCAAGTAACATGGTGTATTGCATTGCACTAACACTAATAATAATGTCTAGTTTCCCGACATTTCTAAAACACTGTTAAACTGTGAAAAAAATACCGGTATGCAATGTTTTCGCCAACTATGCTGCCGTCATCTTAGGTTTCTGGAATCTTTTTATTTAAATCAAGAAACACAAAGAAAATAAACCCAAAAAAAATAGAGGAACAAGAAGCTTCCTTACCCATAAGTATTAACTCGTTGAACCTATGGAAGACAACAGAAGCCAGATCATTTCTAGTGAGCTAAAGAATAAAAAGAGAACATACTAGGAAAAATGTTCACAACCAAATTAATTGAAGTGCTGGAACTATATATGAAACTTATAAAAAAGATAATTCCATTATTAAATGACTATCCATCAAATTATCTGAATAGAAATTAATTATTAAATGTTGCATTATTCATACTATCATAAACAGTTACAAAAATACATGACAGATGTTCTCAAAACAAAAACTCAAAGAAAAATATGTAGAAATATAACCTTAGACTCTCCCATCTTTTTTATGCCAAATCCAGAAAATGGAGTGGTCGTGTCAAGATACTCAAGCAGCCTATCGTAGTGTTGGTGCTGATCCAAAAGATAGATCTAAAAATCAATATAGGAAGAGGAAAAGAAACAAACTGCATATCACACTACAAAAATCAATGAAAATCAATGGTAAGTATTATAAACACTGGTCCCCATACCACAAAAAGTTCCTTCACCCAATGAGCACATTGATTAAAATCGACAAAGATGAGCAAGGTAAACCGGTAGACAAAAAGAAATATCGTGGTATGATTGGTTCTTTACTTTATCTAACTGCTAGTAGAGCCGACATAATATTTAGTGTTTGTATGTATGCACATTTTCAATCTGCTCCAAAAGAATCACACATCACCGCAGTGAAACTTATTTTTAGATATCTTGTTGGTACTCCACATTTGGGTCTTTGGTACCCTAAAAAAATGTTTTTGACCTTTATGGTTAATTGGATGCCCACTTTGCGGGATGTAGACTTGATAGAAAAAGCACTAGTAGAACTTGTCATTTTCTTGGAAATTCACTCACTTCATAGTTTTGCAAAAAATAAAATTCTATTGCTTTATCAACCGTTGAAGCGGAATACATTGCTACCGCTAGTTGTTGTGCTCAAATGCTTTGGATGAAACAATTTCTTGATTTTGGACTTCTCTTTGATCACATTCCTATTAAATGCGATAACACTAGTGCCATAAATCTTTCAAAAAAATCCTATACAACACTCACGCACTAAACACATTAAAATAAGGCATCACTTTTTACGAGATCATGTACTTAAATGTGACATCAAACTCGAATTTGTGCCAACAAGCCATCAATTGACTGATATTTTTACCAAGCCTCTCAATGAGGAACAATTCTACTTTATTCGAACTAAACGCTTGGCATGTTAAATATTCCTATGTGATGTTAATATATGTGTTCTTATGCTGTTATGTGAAATTTGCATTGAAAAATACTATTTTTGGTCTTTCAGGACCCTTAAGGGTTGACCCCCTACTCTATAGGGTCAACACCCTATGAACTAGTTCTATGCTTCCCTTGATAAGGGTCGACACCCTTCTTCGTAGGTGTCGACACCAGATGTGTTTTGGTTCACTACTTTCTAGGGTCAACACGTCTCTTCGAAGGTGTCAACACCTGATGGTGTTTAAGGTTACTGTTTTTTAGGGTCGACCCCCTTCATCGTGAGGGTCGACATCTGCCTTTGGCCAAGGCTTTGTCGCGAGGTCTCTTTAGCTTCTAAGGGTCGACCCCTCTTTTCGCGAGGGTTGACACCATCTAAAGGGTATATATACCGAGCGACCCTTTTCTATTCTCTTGCGACACCACTCAAAGCCCTAGCCCTAGCCCTAGCCCTAGCCCTAGCCCTAGTCCTTTTCCTTTTTCCTATTCCGGCAATTTCAACCGGCAATTCCCATTCCATTTTCCCTTCTCCTCTCTCGCGATCTCTCCCCCTCATCCTCCATGGATTCTCAAGCTTCTCCATTTGCCCCATCTCAGAAATGATCTCGCACCTCCACCACTTACACCGCTATCCCTGTGACTTCCAATCTTCCTATTCTTCAATTCAAGAACAATGACTGCAAATCGGCCTTCAACAAGGATTTTAATTTGCATAAGGTACTTTCTGGTCACACTATTGACATCGATTTCTTTGAAAAGCATTTTATTCCAGTCAAAACATGGTTTGATACTCAGAAATGGTCCTCTCTCTTAAAACTTGACTGTGCTGTTTATCCAACCCTCATTAAAGAATTCTTTGCAAATCTTTCATATAATGAGGAATCTTCTCCCAATACTTCAGATTGTTTTGTGAAGGGTGTCTCTTTCACTTGGAAACCCTCTATTGTTAACTCTATTCTGAAAACCTCTAATGATGGCCATAGAGTTTCCCCTTCTGTTAGCATAAACCCACCAAATTACACACATCTCACTGGACTGAAATTTCTCACTAACAATCCAACCCTAGACCATCACATTTCTGTTGCTGGAAAAGATCTTTCATTGGAACTAAGGCTCTTGCATCAAATCATCCCACACAATATCATTCCTCGGTCTGGTCGTTTTGATGCTATTACCTTTGGTCATACTTTTCTTATCTGGGCCTTATCCACTGGTTACCTCACTGATTTTGGGTATTTGGTATGTCACTGTATTATCAATGCACACAAACAAAACAACCAAGCCCTTCCCTGCAGGATGATTTTCAACAAAATTTTCAAACATTTTAAAATCGATCTCAAAGGTGAAGAAAATGTTTCCCCAAGACTCGGCCAGTTATGGCTCTGAAACACTGAGCCACAGGGGGTTTTCTTTAATCGATAATGTGTGGACCAAGACCAAAAAACATGACTCTGCCCTTGCTCCTTGCAATCCTGCTCCATCTCCTTCCACTCTACCTAGCCCTTCCTCCCTTCAATTCTCCACTCTTGGTCCTTCCTCCTCTACTCCTACACCACCTTCTGACCTCTTCTCTCTCTCTCTCAAAATTGATCACCTTGATTCTCTTGTTCAAGGTCCTTTATTCGTTGGGATTGCTGAACTTAATTCGAGGCTTAACAACCTCAACCTGAATCCTCAATCCACTCCTGCTTCTGATCTTCCATCATCCTCCCATTCTGCCTCCGCTTTATCCTCTTCTGCTCTGGAACGAAAAGTGGATCAGTTGGTTTCTTTAGTTCAACAACTTCTTTCTCAGCAGATGAACATGCAGCATGATATCAGCAGGATGAAGATTCAGCAGGCTCAAGCTATGGAAGCTGCAAAGACCAGTGTTGAAAGGATGGTCATCGCTGTCTATGGGCTCAAGCACTCCAATGAAGAATTCAAACAGATTTTCCAACAGCGATGGGACGACGACCCTGGCAAACAAATTCGCAAGTTTCTGCTTTGGTTCGCACAAGGGTGGCGTGAAGTAGCATCTCATTGGCCTCGCACTCCTCCACCTTTTTGCTAGACTTTGCTCTTCTTTTTGATGATGCCAAAGGGGGAGAAGTGTTTAGATGTTTTTGATGTTGTTTCTGCTGTAATTAAACTAATGTTTTGTTGAAATTCCTAACTGTTAAGTTTTTGTTGACAACGGGGAGAAATATTTAGTTTGGTGATGTACATGGTAAATTGTCTTACGTATAGTCAGTTATTTTTGAATGACAACCAAATGAGAATGGTTTTTGATTTGAATGAATTTGTAGTATAGCTATTTTGAAAGGTTAGTTGTTATGCTCGTCAAGATTTATCTTGCTAAACAACTTTTATGAATTTGAACTTAGATAATTACATTGTTGAAATATGACTTCTTATTATAAAATAAAAAAAAAATTTGTTTATGATTCAAAGGGGGAGAAGAACCTGCGCTGTTGGTACAAGAGCTTGTGATTTCATTCAATGAAATTAAAGCAATAACAATTCATATTTGCTATTGATCCAATGCACATTGACGGGGGGAGTATTGCTATACTTAAGCTTGTTCTATTTATGCAAAATTCTTATGCATTTATATTGAGTTTTGACTTGAAAATGATTTGGCCATGAAGCCCTCTTTATAGGGGAGTTTTCGATCTCAATTTCTAAATTCTTTATTTCACAAAACTCTTTGAAAAACACTTATTAATGTCTTTGTTTTGAAACTCATACTTTGAAAACTTTTCATTAAACTGTCTTCTACATCGGTCTGACACGACCACACAGTGTCTGCTACCACGGTCCGACATGACCCCGTAAACTGTCCTGCTACAACGGTCCGACATGACCCCATAAACTGTCTGCTACATCGGTCTGACACGACCATACCGTGTCTCCTATCCTGTTTTATTTATCAGTTTATTTTTCTGTTTTGTTACTCTCTTCAAACTCAAGTTGGTTAGTTCCTATCCTCCTTGAGTTTGAGGGGGGCTGTTAATGTACACCTCCTACACCACTAAAACCTACCACTACCACTACACACCTCCACTACTCCTCACCCACTCCACCTACCACCTCCACTTTACCTACTACCACCACCCACTCTACACCTACTACTCCCAAAACCTCTCTATATATAGGACTTGTAATATACAGATAAAAAATATCAATATACAGAACAATCTTGTAATCAATATATCTTACAGAACAATCTTGTAATCAATATATCTTACACTACATATTCTTTGAAAACAAATATGATCAAATCATATAACTAAGTTTGTCGGACCAACTTGATTTTTTAACAGAAAATTCACGTATAAAGACTTAGATTCAAAACGAATCGGATGATTGAAATGAGAGAGCTGAACTAGACAGATCTAGTTTTTAGAGAAGCCTATTGCTAATTGAACGTGCTGGGAGTAGTCCTTCCCAAATATAGTAATCGGAATTTAGACTAATTATAACTTCAACTTCAAGGATTCTCTTCGATACATATATTCAGAAATATAATTATTTGCACATGTACTATATAATAAGATATCTTCTCCAACTGCTTGGCAAAAATGGTTTGTGTTAACACTGTTGACCTAAGAAGGTTTTGATCTAATGGTTTGGATGTGAGAATCTAACATACATAAATAAACAATGATTTGGATGTCGCAAAATGACCTTTGCGCTAACATTTGCACTAGTAATGTAACATTTTGCTAAAATTTAACATTTTAGTACTATAGCATTTTTTTTAGATTGTCGACAAAAGAGATTGTTACTGATGATGATGTGTGGTGGAGTCGACTTACTGAGAGTAGTAGCCAACAATGGTTCTTCTCATAGTGGAAACTTGTGTATGGTATTTTGGTACTATAGCATATCAAATTATAATTCTGCTATGATTATTTTAGCACTGACTAGTGAAGTTTGTTCCTATAAACCCAAATTAGAGAATCTCTGATGGTGTCCTAAAACATCCACTAAAGTCAAAATTAGGAAAGAGTTCTATTAAAACATCTCCAATATCTATCATGCTACCAAATTATATCATTATCAAAACTTACACGAAATTTGGGCTATTAGGTTTTTGTTCTTAGCAATCTTGTTTGACAAAACTCTTTCCAGTTGTAATTTTGTTCTATCTTTTATTTTAGTGAGGCTATGAGTTTTAAATGCGAATCTAACCCGAATTGTGCCTATGCAGAGGAATTTGTGATCTTAATCCTACCGTGTGTGCCACTTCGCTAACTATGTCAGGGATCGACCTATTTGCCACTT